CACCACCACGGCCACTACCATCACCCACTCACCAACACCAACATTTACCAACAACATCCAACAAAAACAGCACCCACCACCTCTGCTTCCACCACTACCCAACCACAACCAGCAACAACACCCACCACCACTACCCAACCACCCACACCAAAAACACCAACACTCATCAACAACACCACCCACCCACCCACTACCAGCAACAACACCCACCACCACCATCACTACCCACCCACCAACACCAACACCACCAACACTTATCAACAATACCCACCACCACCTCCCACCCACTACCAACAACACCACCAGCTCCCACCCACCCACCGCCACCACCCCTCTGCCTACCACCACCCATCTCTCTGCACCCTCAACACCAACACCCCCTAACTATACAGTAGAATCATACAGGCCAGGAAAATCCTGTTTAACATAAAAATTAGTCCTAATTTAAATACATCCACACTCCACTAAATAAAGGTGACCCTGTTTCTGTCTATTTTAATCTACAGTTGAAGTAGAAATAGGCATCACAAAGCCATGTTAATCGCTTAAGGTACTTAATCCTTCAGCCTTAGAAATCCTCTGTACCTGAACAAAATAAGTACATATTTTAAATTCCTTCCAAACTTACAAAATGCAAATGCTGTAGCCTTTTTATTTTACCTTATTTCACCTCCCTACCTAAATCTGCTTTGTTTTATGTAATTGGTGTTAAGTCACAAACATGAAACTCTAATGGAAAACTACAAGCTAAGGGAATTTATGTAAATCTCAGAATTCTAACACTTTTAATGTCCTCATTGGTTGGAGTATTTGCCCAGTTGTTGCTGTTGTTATGTGCCACGGAGTCTGTTCTGACTCACAGCAACCCTGTACAGGGTTTCCAAAGCTGTAAATCTTTATGGGATCAGAAAGCCTCATCTTTCTCCCGTGGAACAGCTGGTAGTTTCAAACTGCTTACCATATGGTTCACAGACCGACTGGTAACCATTATGCTACCAGTGCTCTTATTTGCCCAATAGAGGGTGGGGAATAAAAGGAAAGCACCATCTCTGGGGCCAAAATGCCTGGGTTTGAATCCTGACTCTAACATGTGCTTGTTAGGAGACTTTGGTAAGGAACTTGACCTCTCAGTGCCTCTCCACAATGAGAAGAAGAATAGTAGTTATCTCACAAGATTGTTGTCAGGATTAAAAGAGACAACAACACAACAGTGCTTGGCCTATAAAATGTCTTTACAAAACACATTCGTTTTTATCATTATGTTCCAGATTTATCCACAGAGATAAGTCTTTCAAGAAATCTTTGTTGAAGGCATTTGTGTAAATATAAATATTCAAGATACTCCTACCAAACAAGACTCTGATGGAGAAGTCTCCTCCTCTTCTTAGAAAGACAAGCAGGTGATTATTATTCCTGGGCAGGATTGAGTCTGGCAAGAATAGAAGATTATGACCCTGGAGGCTGTCAGTCCTAAGAATGGCCTTGGACACATTGAACCAATCTAGGTCTCAATGTTGGACAAGGTGCCAGACGAGGCGAGGGTTCTAGATTATCTTTATGAAATAACTTTAGAGGTCAAAAAGATAAAAACCCTCAGCAGCTAGTACTTAAGATACAATACAGAGACCCCACAGACAAATCTGCTCAAGGAAGAGTGTGTGTCCAAATGGAAAGAGAAATGGGATTCACACCACTGATTTTTCCATTAATGATTGATAAAGAATTTGTCATGAGACTAACTACATAACTGGTTTCATTGAGTTGATTTCAACTCATAGTGACCCCATGTGACAGTAAGAACTGTCCCATAGGGTTTTCTGGGGTATAATCTCTATGAAAGTGGATCATTAGGTCTTTCTGCTGCGGAAAACCCTTGGATGAGTTTGGACTGCCAAACATTCAGTTAGCAGCCTAACGCTAAGCTATTTGTTCACAGGGCTCCCTCCTCCCAATCACATTAGGTATGAAAGAGGTGGAAAAGCAGGAATGGAAAATGAAAGCTTAGAGGAAATATTTAGTGTTAAAGGGGAAGAAACTACACCAGGACATATACTAAGCACTAAACATTTAAAATATATTCATTCGTTCCCTCTTCACAATATTTTATGATGTAGATACTTTCATTCCCATTAGAGAATGAGGACATTGATTCTTTGGGAGATTAAAATCTTGTGCCCAAGGTCATTACGCTAATAAGCTATAGAGCTGATAACAGAATTCATCTAAACACTCAGGCGTAGAGGGAATTACTGTATCTGAACATGAATTGACATAAAAGAAAGCACCAGAACATCAGCTGAAGATGAAATACCATCATTTCTAGGAAGCAGTATATTACCACATTAATAATAAAAGATGGCCTTCAAAGTCTAGGTCCATAATTTCAATCTGATTTTAAATTTACATTTTATCAGAATATACCATGTGAGTCGGTTCCGACTCATCACGACCCTGTGTAGGGTTTCCAAGTCTGTGAATCTTTATGAGAGCAGAAAGCCTCATCTATCTTCTGAGGAATGGCTGATAGTTTCAAACTGCTAACCTTGAGGTTAGCACCCCAACTATGCTACTGTTTTTGTTGTAAAGTGCCATAGAGTCTGATCCAACTCATAGCAACCTTGTATAGGGTTTCTGAGGAGCAGCTGGTGAGTTTGAACCACTGACCCTGCAGTTCAAACAGCTTGGCAGCCTGACGCATTAGCTCACAGCGCCATACCAGCACTTCACTACGCTACTAGAGCGCTTTTATTTCCATAAGTTACTGAAAATATACATAGATCTTTAAGTTATAAGAAGCTTCAAAAAGAAAAAGAAAAAACAGAATTCAAGTCACTTCCAAGATAGAAAAGCCTGAGAGGTAAAAATGCAGACGTCTTTAGAGCACACAGAAACCACCTTCATATAAATGGTTTGAGAAGAGTGGAGAAAGTTGCCAGTCAAAACATGAACACTATGTCTTTTCAACGAAGCTTTGCAGTTTCAGGGGGGTGAGGGTGGGAACTAAGTCTTAATTATGTTGCTGGCTCCTCTCCATTTTGCTGACCAAATGTGTTGTGGAGCAGAAGAAATCGCTTCTATAAGCATCTATGACAGGCAAGGGTTAAAAATACATAAAAGTAATGAATAAAATTAAATTGGTACATCAACATGCCATTTACAGTAAGCAGAGGCATTTCTAACATACCCACACTTATTACTCAACTCGGACAACCCCTTAAAGGGAAACAAAATCCTTTAAAGGGATGCTGTGTCTGAGCTTGAGATCATAAAATCCAATTTCAACTTAGCTCTTCAATATGAGAAAGCTACTTTTATTCCTAAATATAGAGACTATAGACAGGATTGTTCTGGGTTTATTTGAATCCAGGATTGCTCTCAGCACACTACATCACAGAATACCATATTTTTATACAAATCACACCAAGCATCTTCTACATTTGTGTCCAGCCCCTCCCTCCCCCTAGGAAGGTATTTTTGTAACTACACTACACTAATTTTCTTTTTCTTAACAGCACCATGTAGTCAGAGTTTTATTAAAGCATAAGAGACAATATGGAAAAAGTTTTAGGTGGTTAAAAAGATGAAAAGAACATATCAGTGGAAAGAAAATGCCCATGAAAGTTAAAACAGATTCCTTTTCTTCCTAAAGACCCTGAAAAATAATCAGCACATTGACATTCTAATTAGGTAAATTCCATCTTAAGATCTGATAAACATTAATTACTAATCTGGAGTCCTGATGTGGTGTTGTAAAATGAGCACTGGATTGCTAACTGTACAATCAATCAGCAGTTCAAGTCCACCAGCTGCTCCTCAGAAATGTTCTACTGGGTCACTATGAGCGGGTGCCTATTCAGCAGCACTTAACAACAACCACAGAGCTGCCCATCACCTCTTTGGGAAGAAAAGTAGTTCCCAGTTGGGAATATCCTAAGGTTCAGTCAGCAAATGGAGGGAGATAAAAGCCTCTTCCTGCCTCCTATCTGGATGTTCCAATCTCTGGAAAGTCACTTCAACTCCCCAGCTGTCTGTCACTAAACTTGCTTTTTTTTTTTTCCTTCCATCTTCTTTTTTTAAAAATTTTTTATTGTGAATTATGTGATAGTTTACGTGGGAGACCATTGCTTTTACATTCATTCTATCATATATCGTCTCATTGCCATGGTTACAATCCTCTCCATGCAATCCTTCCCCAGTGCCCCCCAGGTCTTCAGCACACAGTCACTCTCCCTCTCTGGATACTAAAGCTTGCTTTTGAAAGAGGTGGTGGTGGTGGTGTGCAGGGATTTAGTTCCAACTCACTGCAACCCTGTATAGGGTTTCTGAGGCTGTAAATTGTCACTGGGACAGCTAGTAATTTCCAACTGCTGACCTTGAGGTTCGCAGCCCAACTCATAATCACTATGCTCCCAGAGCTCCTGTTTGAAAGGCGTGAGCCAAAATAAACGTATTGTTTGTGTTAAATGCCATTGAGTCCGCTCCGACTCATAGCAACCCTATATAGGGTTTCTGAGGAGAGGCTGGTGGGTTTGAACTGCCAACCTTGTAGTTAGCAAGCTAGTGCTTATTCTACCAGGACTCCAAAATAAATATAACATGCTGTAATTATTTATAGAAAATTATTGTGCGAACTACAGGAATAAATAGGGGAACTAAAAGAAATATGCATTCTCTAGGTGACAAAGTATCAAAAATCTATTAAACAGGTACAGAAAACCTAAAGGATGCCTAGAAGAAGAGTAATTCTTCTAAGAAAGTAATTCAACTAAGAAAAAATAAGAGGAGGAGGAGGAAGGGAGAGCAAGAGACAGGAAAAAAGGAAGGCGAAGAAGAAGATTTGGGAGAGGGACCCTTGAAAAAAATACCTGAAAGAATATTTTGAATCATAAATATTCAAACATTCTGACATTTCTCTTACATTTAACTGAAATGAAATCAACATTAAATCTATGTTTCATAAATTCACAATCTGCTATAAAATAAAAATAAAGGTAACTTACACAGACCAGAAGAATGTCCCAGCTTTGACACCTTGTTTAGTGGCTGTAATCCATAGCTAATGAGGAAAATATAAGAGGCTTACAATATGTTCTGAGTTTTTGTCAAAAAAAAGAAAAGTCTTTTTAAGTGCATAAGATTGGATATCTTACATTTTACCAACACCCGCCATAAATTTCATTTATTATTTGCAACCTTTTTTTTAATTTTATTTTTCCACATCTGGAAATCAGAATCACTATTTCCACAGACGTTATTCAATACGTTTTCTGCAAAAGTTCTCAAAAGCTCTGTTAGGATTCTAGTGACTTTTTTTTTTTTTCCAATTGTAATTCATTCCAAAACCCTCTTCTATACCTGTCTTTCCTGATAATTATCTGAGATATTTCACTTATGTGGAAAAATCCTGTTCATCAAAGGACCCAAGGAGTGTCCTATATGTTTGTTCTCGGAGTAGACCCCTATTTGGCACTCAGATGACGGCGTCTTAAAACTAAGCCTCCTTGTTTTGTTTCCAATTAACATGAATAAGGAGGAGAAAGTGTTCATTTTTAATCTGGGTTTTCCCTGACTCTTTTATCTACCACTGAAACTTTAAAAATAAATTCCTAGGGTAAGCTGGATGAACCAAGTACTTCAGTAAGCCTTTTGAAGTATTCTTCTTTACATTGTATACTGTTAGAAGGCAGAAAATACAGTGATTTAAAACCTGGGTTCTACAACCAGATAGAATGAATGTTAAGTTTCATTCCTGTGCTCTTCCAGCAAGTTACATAAACTCTGTCAGCTTCCTTTAAAATGTAGATCATAGCACCTAGCACATAGGATTATTCTAAGTTTTAATGATTTCATACATGTAAAGTTCTTCAAACAGTTATTCTGGGAATAGCTTAGAATGGCCAGTGGCCCCATTGCATAGAAATGTGTGAAAACAAACTCACTCACACTAGGGAAGAGAAGGGAAACAAGAAAGAAGAGAGCTATAGCTTAGTTGACGTAAGAGCAAATATATGGTCTAGGAATTGTAGGCAGCCCCTTTTTCTGGTTTCAATACATTTAGACTTCTAGAGTGTCTTTTCATTGTGTTGTATAAACAGGTCATTTGAAAGTCTAGGGCATCTAGGAACCTGGCCATAGCTTCAGAAGAGTTTGGGACATGAAGCTCGGTAGAGCTCTGAAAGAACCAAAAGACCGTTAGGTTGTTGTTGTGTGCTATCGAGGTGAGTTCAATTCATACCAACGCCCTGTGACAGAGTAGAACTGGCCCATAGGGCTCTTTGGGCTGCCATCTTTATGCAAGTGGATCAGCGGCTCTTTATCCCAGGGATGGCTTGAACAGCCAACCTTTCAGTGAGCAGTCAAGTGCTTCACTGTCATGCCACTAGGACTCCTTAAAGACCCTTTAAAATTTCCAGCACAGTGATAAGAAGAGAGGGCATATGCACAAGAACACCCACACTTGCAGATAATACCCACTTGACCTGGCTTCAATGACTGGATGATCAGAGCTCAACTAGAAGAAGAAAGAAGAGGAAAAAAAAGAGTAATCTGATACAATTTGATCAACCTGACCTACACCTATGGATGCAGTAGCTCAAAAAAGAGAACAAATCTTTACAGCAAGGATCATTCCCACCTCCTCCATACACAGAATAGACAGGGATGGGCAACTTGGACATTGGCTACCCAAAATGGGGGAGGCTACAAAGGCAAGAAATGACTGGCTTACAAGCTTTCAAGAGGGAGCCTAGATCCAGAGGGCATGGAAGAAGGCGGGACTGATGAAAGGAGAAGTGGATAGCACTCATGTGGTACAATAGTGAATAATTACTATCAGGATTGACTGTGAGGGTTGGAAATGTAAAGGTAGAAGGGGAGTGGTTGACTTTGCAGTCCAGGAGCGGAGGTCCACGGGACCATCAAGGGAAAAGAGTGGAGTGCGGGACCCTACTCAGAAAAGCAGTGATGTCAGAGATGGAGGCAGAGATGATGACATGGAGAGATGGAGCAGTTGGGAACTTTAGACACAGAGAGGGAGAGGGGCTATGTGCTAATGACCTGGGGCAGGCTTGCAGGGTATATCCTTTGGTTGGTTGATGATGCATGGAGGGGATTGTAACCATGGCAATGAAAATATACGATAGGATGAATGTAAAACTAATGTTCTCCCTTGTAAACTATCATATCATTCACAATAAAACATTAAAAACAAAAATTCCCAGCACAAGAGTCACAGCTGATGCAGTTTGAAGCAGGGATGGGGCAGGAGAGCATAGAGACCTCTCAGATCCATTCAGAGACAGGCTGCTGGTGGATCTCCTCAGCATGAGAGGGAAGGAGTCCTGATCCCATTCACATGGCTCTGAGGAACTAGAACTGGCTGCCCAGGACCTCCGTTTCCCTGGATGAGAGGTAAGGGTCTCAGATTGCTCTGAGCACCCTCCACTCGACTTTGTCCAGCACATTCTTCTGCTTTTTAGACAAGTTCTGACCCTAACCTGTGTTTCAAAATGTGTCCTGGAATCTGATTCTTTCATTGCTTGTTTGGATTTGGGGTTAGTTTTTTTGTTTGAGATTTTGTTGGCTTTTTGTTTGTTTTGTCTTTAACTTTTTATTGTAATAATGAATGAAACTTTACATAGAACATTGTTTTTCTATTCAATAATTCATATACACTTTGGTTCCAGACATTGAGTGTATGTAGTCTCCACAGTGTAACAGCACTTTTCTGGCTTCCAACCTGTGTTTACTGTTTCCATTCACCCTTCTTTCCTATCCCTTACTCTCTTCTGAGCTTTATCCCTGGACAATGCTGGCCTTTTGATCTTGTATAGGTTGTCAGTTCTAAGGAATGCATTCCTCCCTGATGTTACTGTTCACTTTACAGACCAATTATTTGACTGAAAGTTCAGCCATGGGGGTCAGTTCAGTTCCAGGCAAGAAGAGTGACCATTGTCTCCAGGATTCCACCAGCCTCTATCCAACCAGTAAAACTGCTGTTTTTTATGATTTTGAGTTTTGTTCCACAGTTCGCCCACTCTATCCAGAATCCTCTGTTGTGATTCCTTTCAGAGCAGTCAGCCATGGTAGCTGGGCACCATCTAGTTCTTCTGGTCTCAAGTGTGCATGGTCCCTTGGACTAATTGTTTCCCTGTGAGTTTAATATCTTCTTGTTCTAGCTCCTTTGCCAGCAAGTAGCTCAGACTGATAGCTGTACAACCTACAGTGCCTGAGGACCAGGCCAGAGCACAGGGTACCTGTTTCTTACATTATTTTAATTCCACAGATACAAACGCCATGTATTCATATCAGAACCATTTCCTAGAAAACCCAGGGCCTAGTTATTTCCAAAAGAATTGTACTAGACAATATTTAGAATATAGAAAATGTTAGGCCAATCTGGGATTTTTATAAAGGAATTTTTTTTTTTCAAACATGAAATGAGTATGCTCACAGTTAGCTGATTTAAAGTTAGTCAAATATGACCTTGCACTCTCAAAAATTGTACTGTAGAATGCATGCTGATGTTGGCATTATCTGGACAATAGAGATTGTTAGGATACATTTTTAGCTCAGCAACTCTTGGAGAAAGTTTAGTACTAAAAGTAGCCTTGGAAAAGATGAGGAATGCATAGAGAAGAACTCAGAAGTCAGTGCTAGAATTACTCCAATGGAGAAAATCACGACCATTTTTTTCTCTTACTTTTCTGCACTTTCAAAAGTTTTACAATGAGACGTAACATCTCTGCAGTCAGAAAAAGACTAACCAATTTTGTTAGCATTGCACAATATCAAAACCAAGATTAAACAAAAATGTATTTTTTTCAAAAAAACAAGCAGAAACTTTCTCTCTGCTTCTTCATAGAAATCATGTTGATCTTGTTTTCTAAACAACAATTCAGACATGATCAGAAGAGTATAAGAAAAAGAAAAAAGCAAGTATATGAAATAAAAGCATAGCAAAATATCCAACAACAACAAAAAAATCCTAGCAGTAATGAAGCCCATCTGTCCAGGTTTACGGCAAATAGTTCAAGACTGAAGCATACAGAAAAAGACCTAGAAAGTTCCTTTGAAGGCAATATGTCTCTATTGTTGTTGTTGTGCTGTTGAATTGGTTGCTACCCACAGTGACCCTGTATAGGGTTTCCAAGGAGCAGCTGGTGAGTTTGAACCACCAAACTATAAATTCAAAAGTCTTTGCAGTCTGGCATATTAATCCACAGCTCCACACCAGGACTCCATGTCTATATTGTTGTTGTTGTTGTTGTTATGTGCCGTGGAGTCGGTTCCTACTCATAGTGACCCTGTACAGGGTTTCTGAGGCTGTAAATCTTCACAGGAGCAGAAAGCCTCATCTTTCTCCCACGGAACAGTTGTACCATACAAGGGTAAATCAAAAAGTATTGCTTGAAAATCACAGAAATCTTCATTAAACAAAAATATCAAAATGTGAAGCTATTATTTCTCAACATCACCTCCATCTAGGCTTATATACTTCTGAAGGTAAGGTTTCTATCTTTCTAAACCCTCCCTGAGGGGTTTTGGTGTGGCGTTGTAGAATAAGTACTGGACTGCTAACCACAAGGTGGGCAGTTCAAACCCACTAGCCACTCCTCGAAAACACAATACAGTATCCCTAGGAATCAGAACCTACTCCACGGCACTTAACAACAAACAATAAGTCCTCACAAAGAATTCTATTTACATCAAGTGAAAATGGTACTTTGTGCAACCTCAAGGGACTCAAATTGTATTCCTTATAAATGTTCTTTGACTTTGAGGAGCAAAAACAACCTGAGGTTAGTACCCAGTGCTAAGATAGGGAGCCCTATCAAGATGACTTCTTTGGAATTCTAAAAACCAGTCATCATATCTTTCTGAGCTGACCTCTCTGCCTTGATCTAGCAGCTCCCGTAAGAAGCCCTGTTGTAATGGGACTTCTTTTGAAGGCCACTTGAGACTAAGACTAGTTTATTCTTAAGAGAATGTGTTTTCAGCCATCCACTGATCTCAGAGACATGCTTTAACATGTTTTGTATGAAATGGAACCCTGCTAGCAATATTTTTTTGACTTAGCCTAGTATTTCAGGGCTTAGAAGTCAAATCTAGTAATTTCCAAGAAAAAATTAAAAACACAAAACCATTAAAAAGTTAGTTGGTTTATTCCTACAAAGGAAGAAACATGAAAATGACCCTTTGTGAGTGGGGGTTTTCCTAGTTCCTCATTGATTCAGAGAAATGAGAAATTTGATTTCTCAAAATTTGAATGCAATATAAATTTCCTCAGAAATTGTATAAAATAACACAGCTAACAATATAAACTATGAAGACATCGGGCTTGGGCTTTCTGCTTTTTGTGCCAATATTTCCTCTGTTGCTGTGTTTCGCTGGTAGTAGCATTTTCCAACTATTTTCAACTAAGGTTCTACATCTCAAAAAGAGGGCCAATGAGAAGAATAGTGCACCTTCTTGATATGTTACTGAAGTACACCACACTTAACTCCACTCAACCCAACATTTTATCCCTTAAGTTTTACTCCCCAACCCAAACACAATTGTAATTCTTTCCTAATAAGTGTACTACACACATAAAGATCTGCAGAAAACCTCCGCTGCTGGAAACACCAGGGCCTGAGTATGAGACCCAATGCTCCCTCTAACACTGTTTCGTGTGCACTTACAGGAGAAAAGGAGACATTTTGACAAAGTAAACAAACAAACAAGATTTTTCTAAAAATAAGAACTACTGTTAAAATCTTTGTAGCCGTTCTTTGCAAAATTTATTCCTTTGCTCTCAAAAGCACTGAGTTAGGATAAAAGAATATTGAGTCTAGAAGGATGGTTGAGTACAAAGAAGAAGAAGGGAAAAAAAAAAACCCTACAGATTTATAGTAGCACGTGCAGAGGAAACAAAAGGCAAATAGAAAAAATAAAACTTTCCCTGAAAAGAAAGAAATGCCTTCACCTATCATTTGGGGTAGTAAAAAATCAACGACTTGCACTTCCCATCAAAGCAAGCCCTCTTAACTGGAAGTTCGCCTTTCCTCTAACATTTTTCTGCTAGTTCCCTTTCTGGAACGTGCCATCTTTCCTGGGTTTTTACCTGGCAGCAGTTCACCAGGCCTGGTCTCTGTACACCTCACTGCCTGGCTGTGGAAACACTGCCTTCGGAGGATTTGAATCATGGTTGGGTGCTGGCTTCTCTAATCTGGACGCTACTCCCCTCCTTAGCATATACTTGGACTCAATAGGGAACATTCTTCTATTTGAGGCTGCAAGGTTATACCCCAGAGAAACTGTCCAAGAGGCAAGCACACTAAAGGAACTCCAATAAAATATACATGGAAAATCTGGGGCCATGCAGTGGATGATACCTTCTTGCAGTGCATTATGAAGACTAGCAAAATAGACGCAGACAAAATTTTGCTAATGCGACTATATTGAGTTAAATGAAATTCAATTATTAAAAAACATTGAGATTCAGACCAGTAAGTATATATTTTCAGATATACACTAAACTAATAAATAGTTTATTCCATCCACTATATTTTAAAGATAAGAAGTAGCTCTCATCCACTGTTTAATCTGAACCCTGTATTATTTAGCCTTACAAAGTTTAAATAGTTAAAATAAGTTGCATTTCATTTAACTACTGCTCGATGATTTTTGTAACTATTTTTCTCTACTCCATTTATTTTTTGTCCCCCACTGGTAACTTTATGAAATGCACAACCTTCTACATTGGATCTCATAAATGCTCTTATAATACTTTTCTATCTAAATGCTCTTCCTGTATGCCAAATTTCAAACACATGTGGTTTTAAATTGTGGCTACTATGCTGACTTGGAATTGTACGGTGATAGTGTTCTTCAGGATGAACGACAAAAACACAAATCAGTTTTACTGCACATGTGGGTAAGCCTTAGGGGAATCCTAAATTTGGTCAAATGTGTCAACTTGGAGAGTTAGCAAGGAACAAACAAGCAGAGTTGAAACACTTGAACTTCACCAGGCCGACTAAGGGCATCTTCTGTTCCTTTCTGTCGAGCTTAATGAATGTGTGCACTCATTTGCCGAGTCATGCTAGCCCAGAGGAAGTAGAATATGATGGATAAGGTGATCCAATTTGATACAATTGCTTTCTCTGCATATACTCTGTGGGTCTTCCGGAAAATATACTCCCCTGATGAAATAAATTAGCATAAAGAGCCACATAGCAATGGGTTGACAGAACTCCAATTTCAATCATTTCTATTTACTCAAAAACAAGTTCTTCTATCATAAACTTTGTTTGTGAAATCCACCCCATAAACAATTTCTGTATGATCCTAACCTGGGTCACCATAGACTTCCGGGAGCCAAGCCACCAGAAGCCTTCCAATGCATTTAGTTTTTGCTTTGTTTTGCTTGCTGTTGTATTTTTAAATGAAAAGCCTAACTTACCCCTGCATAGTAATTTATTTATTATGCAATACTTATAAATGACCTTTTCACAAAGAAAAAAGAAACTTCCAAGGAAAATAGATTGTTTTTTTCCTTACTTTATATTCTATTTTCTCCCCATAGGAATCCTGGTGTGGTGCTGTAGGATCAGCACTGGATTGCAAACCACCAAGGTTGGTGTATCAAATCCACCAGCCGCACCTTGGAAACGCTAGACAGGGTGACTATGAGACAGAGCTGACTTGATAGCATTTAACACCAACATTCTTCCCATAAGCTTCAGTGAAGTATGAGATCTGTGTGGGGTGGTAGAGACATGGGCTAGGGGCACACTCTCCTCCTTACCAGCCAGCCATGGAAGAGAGCATGTATCAGAGCCTCTTCCTAGTCAGTTCTCCAATGAGTCACAACACTCATCACAGTTGGCAGAAGATAAAGCCATCCACCATCTTTCTTCTACGCAGTTTGGATCAACTGCATATTCTGGGGCGTGTTCCTGATTCTTCAGGCCAGGGTTCGGGGCACTTCAGGACTGCTCTGAACACTTCATAACCGTGGCTGTATGTTGCCACTTTGCTCACATCTGATGAACATAAGTTACCGACCACACATGCAGTCACTGAAAAACCATTCTGCAGAAAGCAGTTTTATCTCTTTTTATTTTCTGCCCAATCATTTGCTCTGAAGTAAATAGGATCATTTCTTCCAAAGTACTACTTTGCTAATCCAGAATAAGGCAGAATCCTTCTGATTCTATTTAACATCCATGATTTTATAAAAAATAGATTAAAACAGAGAAACTCATGATTTCACTATTGATGTTGCGATCATTCATGGACCTGCAAGTTTCCCAGTGTCTGTTCAGTATGACACATTGGCCAAATGCTTAGGGTGGTCATTGGTTTCTCTTTCTCATATATCCCCAAATCGGGTCAATCAGTAAGGCCCAACTATTCTTCAAAGGGTTTCTGAAATTTACCACTATGTCACCATTTCTACAAATGTTACCCTAGTATAAATAGTATCACCTCACAATTATTATAATCATATTCTCATACATCCACACACATGCATATGTACAGAAGTACATCACACATTGTTGTTATGTGTCATTGAATCGGTTACAACCTATAGCAACCCTGAATAAGGTTTCCGAGAAGCAGCTGGTGAGCTTGAACTGCTGACCTTGCAGTTCAAAGGTCAGCACCTTACACAGATGTACATTCATATTTATCAGTATGTATGTATGTATTATAAACATGTAATTATCCATATACTATATAATATACATTTTTTTAAGTTATCAATTAAAACTCATAGTAACCTTATGTTGTTGGTAGTAGTGTGTGCCATCAAGTGGGTTCTGAGTCATAGTGACCTGGTATAGGGTTTCTGAGGAGTAGCTGCTGGGTTTGAGCTTCCATCCTTTCAGTTAGCAGTTTAGTGCTTATCCTGCAGTGCCACATCACAACTCTAGAATTCCTATGTTGTTGTTGTTGCTAAGTACCTTCGAGTCAGTCCTGACTCATAGAAACTCTGTATAGGGTTTCCAAGGAAAGGCTGGTGAACTTAAACCACCATCCTTGCAGTTCAAACCAACCTTGCAGTCCAGTGCCTGATCCCACAAAGTACAACTGCGCCACAGGGTTTCTAAGGCTGTATTCTTTAGAGGAACAAACCACGACATCTTTATCCCATGTGTGACTGATAGGTTCAAACCACCAACCTTTCTGTTAGCAGCTGGATGGTTTAAGCACTGCACCACCAGGACTCCTTGTACATGGAGAAAGGGGATTCAAAAAGTTCATGGAAAAATATCAGTATCTTCTCATTCCATTTTTATATAAACTTTTTGAAACCCCCTAATAAATAGATTGTCAGGAGGCAAATTTTGAGATAAAATGGCTTAATGTTCACAAACACAACATAAAAATAAAACTTACCGGTTGACCTCCCCACCATCGATGATTAAATTTCTCTCGTCCTCGAAGGTGGAACGTGGCATCAAATACAGGATCGTACATAGAATTGCCAACAATTCCATGTGATTCTGGATAGAGCCCCTTTGTGTAAAATCAAATTTATTGTTAAAATAACATTATGGTAAGCTACATACGTTGGTTATACTAAAAACATCTATATCACTATTTAACATGCAAATTATATAAGATCGATACAACTTTTATTGTGGGGTTGTTTGAGCAAACATGAATAATATCTATGGCATTAATAAACATTTAATATTATTTCAATAGGTTTTAAACTGTTGTAGTTTAATAAAATGACAATAACTTTTATAACTATAAATTAACTTGGGTTTGAAATTTACATATTTGCTTCTAAAGTTTTTTTAATTTACTTTTAAATATACTTGTCCTTCTAAGTCCTACTTTTCCCCAAAAACAACTTAATAATGATATATATATGTGTGTGTATGTA